TTGTTCTTCATTGCAGTTATTTTGGGATTAAATGAAGTAATGTGAAATGAAGACACCTAGTAAATACATAGACAAACATCTTAGGCTCACTTTGCCCAGCTCGTGTAGATGGTTTTGTGGTAAGGTGAGGATTTACCACGAGGCCATCACACCAGTCCTTTTTTTTTTTTCAAAGACTTGCTTTCCCAGCATGCTTGCCTAGAGCCCTTAAGTGTGGTAGAAGACTTAAAGGAAGTTTGTGGCTTGGGGGAGAAGGAGCTCAAAAAGGTAGAGAGTGGCTCTCACATTGCCTCTGCCCTTTGGTAATCATGCTTTGTCGGTTGGAAGGAGGTGAAGGGGCACCTGGGAGCAAGCTGTTGAAGGGTGAGGATAAGGGAATTGGCCGTGAGTGGTACAGCCGGCTGCCTGTTAGGAGCCCAACATGGCGCCTGAGCAACACATGATGCAGAAGAGACAGCAATCCGTTCCTGGCCAGCCAACAGCTGTTCACGCCCATAAGCCCCATTCCTGGGATGGGGGCATTTAAATAAAACTTTATGCTCCTACTGGAGAGTGGTTTTCCCCCCAAAATATGGGAAACTGGGTTGAGGGTGGGGTTTGGATGGAATAAGAGATCTTACCCAATCTGTAGGTAGGGAATTGGCCCAATGAGTAACAAGTTACTTTGCAGTTTCTCTGAAAAGTTTAGCCCTCTTCCTCTTCTAGTTCTCCCTCCCTGATAGTGCAGGTGTGCGTTTCTTCAGCCCTTGTGGTCTTCTTGTGGATGAATGTTAATGTGGGAGCACTATGTCATTTAAGTAAGGTTAGACTTAGTGATGATGAATTTTGATACATCCCAGTACCGTACTTCAAGTTATTTTTCCAAGTTGTATTTAAAGTTTCAGTTTTAAAGTATTTATTTTAAAGTATTTAGTTTTTTCAGGGCCTGGTGCGGTGGCCTAGTGGCTAAAGTCCTCGTCTTGGACGCGCCAGAATCCCACATGGGAGCTGGTTGAAATTCCAGCAACTCCACTTCCCATCCAGCTCCCTGCTTGTGGCCTGGGAAAGCAGTGGAGGATGGCCCAAAGTCTTGGGACCCTGCATCTGTGTGGGAGACCTGGAAGAAGTTCCTGGCTCCTGGCTTCAGATTGACATAGCATTGGCCGTTGCGCTCACGCAACGGAGTGAATCATTGGATGGAAGATCTTTCTCTCTGTCTTTCCTCCTCTCTGTATATCTGACTTGCCAATAAAAATAAGCCTTTAAAAAATAAAGTTTAGTTTTTTCAGTTAGTGATTGCAGTGATCAGGATGAACTTCCTTCTAGCAGACTGAACCCCTTTTACAAAGCCACTTTAACAACCACTGCCAATATACTGTTCAAGGTGAGTGTAAAACTGAGTGACTTAAAAAACAAACAACTTAGGAAGAGACATCTGCTGGTAAACTCTCCAAATGGCTGCAATGGCTGGGGCTCGGCCAGGCCGATGCCAGGAGCCTGGAACTCCTTCTGGATTTCTTAGTAGCAGAGAGCTTGGATCTGAGGTAGAACATCCTAAGACTTAAACCTGCACTTACATAGGATGCCAACATTGCAGGCAGTGGCTAACTGGTTGCGCCACAACACCAGCCCCAGTTTGATCATTATGCCTTCAATATTAACTGCAAAAATAATTCAGTGACCAGCACAACTGACTGATAAAAATGGAGGAAGTTCGCTTAAATGACATTAATTCAATAATGCCATTATAAGCATGACTGCTAAAGGGTTTTATAGGTCTTAATAAAAACCTTGTTACTAGCTTCTCGGCCTTTTGGCTAAGAAAGTATAAAAAACTTGTTACTTACATAATGAAGCTGAGATTAAAGAAAGAATTTAATCGAAACATCAATGCCAGGTTTTCTTTGTTATGAAATGGCTGGCAACATCAGGAGGATGACATCAGCGGAAGCCTGGAAGCACATATGCAGGCCTGCCAGGGTTTATACAAGACTTAAACCTTATTTCCAAAGGATACCACACCTGAATCTTCCTTTCTTGGAAAGAAATAATTTGTTGTTTCTCTCAACAGATCCAAGAATGTAGTCACTCTGACCAGCTTCAAGTAAAGGAAGAAAGAGTCAATAAAGGAAGTCACCTAACTGAAAAGGAAAATGCAGAGCATCTTAGCACTTGTACAACGGATTCAACAACAGTTAAAGCACCAGAAATAGATAGCTGTGGTTCCACTGCAAGTGAACATGAAGAGCCTCTTGATGTTCCGCAAATGAGGTTTGGGAAATCTCAGCAACTTGAGTCAAAGATGGAACCACAAGTTTTAAAAGAAACAAGTGCTGCTTATTCAATTGAGGAGAAAGATAATGCAAAGGAATCAGTAATAAATGAAGAGAGAGAGATACACGGAAATCACTTTTCTTCACTACCGACCACAACTGCAGTTCACAGTGTACCAGAGTTTGGCAGCATCAAGGAAACCAATATGCAGGATGGCAGTGTGCAGATTATCAAAGATCACGTGACTCACTGTGCATTCAGCTTCCAGAATTCCTTGCTGTATGATTTAGATTAATTCTAAATAACTTTTTGATTTGAAGGTTAGGAGTAACAAATATGGGACCTTTTTAAAAGTTTTTTTTGGTTAATCATTAAAACTCAAGATATTCAACCAAATGTAAAATTTGCAATTTTCAATCTAATGGGGAAATTGGATATGTATTTTTTTTGCCTTAAGTTTATAAACACTTCCCTTAATTATGAAGATAAATTTTGTGATTTGTATGATACATGCATATTTTTGTAATGGAGAGTTAACATTTACTTTTCATGTAACCTTTATTTATCTGTTGAATTTTGCTTTTACGGACCATTATTTTAATAAAGTTTCAAAGTAAATATTCACAAAGTTGTCATACTGAGTACTTCTCACAAATGCAGTTTTAACTACAAATATTTGTATCTTTCTGAGGGAGTACAATTTATTTTTAAGTCTTCGTAGGGTTTAGTCTTGCAATAGAGCTTTTTTTCTTTGAAAGAACAAAGGAGAGAAACACAGAAATATATCCACAATGGCCACAGTATCCAAATCTGCATCTGCATGGGGCCAGGCAAAAACCAGAAGCTATGAACCCTGTCCTGGTTTCTTACATGGAGAGCAGGGGCTTAAGTACCAGGGCCACCGTGCTCCGTTCCCAGGCACATTACAGGAAGCTCGCTGGCAAGTGAAGTAGCCTGGATTGGAACCAGCACTCCAAAATGGGGCGTTTCCTTAGCAAGTGACCACATTAACAACCGCATTAACCTGCAGTGTCACAATGCTAGTCCCTTAGAACTATGCGAACCAATATGAATAAATGTAAACAATTACATGGAATGAAATTTCATTTTTTTTTGCACTAGCTGTTCCCATACACATGCCAAAAACAGGATTATTATTCCCATACTTATCACAAAAACTACAGTTTATTGTTCTGTGTCTCAAATACCGTATGAGGTTAAGTAATGATTTTGAAAACTCAAAAAAACAAAGATACCAAACCGGCTCAGCACAATGACCTAGTAGTGGCTAAATCCTTGCCTTGCATCCACCGGGATCCTACAATGGGCACTAGTTTGTGATCTAGCTGCTCCACTTGCCATCCAGCTCCCTGCTTGTGGACTGGGAAAGCGCTCAAGGATGGCCCAAAGCCTTGGGACTCTGCACCTGCGTGGGCTGCCTGCAGAAGCTCCTGGGTCCTGACTTTGGATTGGCTCAGCTCTAGCCATTTTAGACACTTAGGAAGTGAACACACAGAAGGTAATTCTGTCTCTCCTCTCTGTATATGTTCCTTTCCAATAAAAATAAAATCTTCTGTCCGATGATTCACTCCCCAAGTGAGCACAACGGCCAGTGCTATGCTGATCCAAAGCCAGGAGCCAGGAACTTCTTCCAGGTCTCCCACATGGGTGCAGGGTTCCAAGGCTTTGGGCCATCCTCCACTTCTTTTCCCAGGCCACAAGCAGGGAGCTGAATGGGAAGTGGAGCTGCCGGGATTAGAACCAGCACCCATATGGGATCCCGGTGCATTCAAGGCGAGGACTTTTAACCACTAGGCCAGGCCGCAGAGCCCAAAAAATATTAAATTAAAAAAAAAAACCCTTGGAAGTTATTACTGAAGTATCACAATGTTTTGTTTCACAGAACACCATTAAGAATTTTAAAACAAGAATTTTTAAAATTCTGGGCAATTGTTTCTTACAGATTTTCAGGACATTAAAAAAAAAGAAAATTAAACTTTGCTGATCTAATCATTACTTTGATCTATTTCTGTTCCATCCCCAGCTAATACGCACTGAGCTTAGTCCTCTGACCTGCTGACATCAGGTCAAAGTTCTAAAACTGGCAAGAAAGCCTGGTGGTTCATCCTGATCTACATTTACAAATCTGCTACTAGAGAAGCCTGGCGGGTAGAATAAAAGTAGCTCATAAGGCAGAACTACCTCATCCACGTGAACGCAGGCCTCTTTCAACCACAATGTGGATTTATGCGATCATTTCGAAGCCATTTATCATTTCATTAGTTTGAAATGACTAATACCTTTACACAAATTGGTCTTTCCTAATTTTTCGTTGAAGGCAATGCATATTTAATTTTTACATTAAGTATGGAGTAAATTTTAAACCCATTTCCTAACTAGGGTCATTTGTCCTTTTAAAAAGTATGAGTTCTGTTAAAGCTGGCACTACAAGTTTCACTTTGGCACCACTGACATCTATATTATTTCTGGCCTTCAAAAAAAATTTAGGCTGCATTTCCCTTGCACAGCAGCTTTGCTCAGTAACTATGCCTGGCTAATTTGAAAGACAGTTTCTTCTGAAGGGAATGCACTGTCATGAGCTGAGTTTTACTTTAATTATACAAGGTACACCAAGCAAGTATCAAGATGTGCTGTTAACTTTTAATATTTCTAGAATGCCTTTAATAAAATTTAGTACAACAAGTAAACAACTTACTCTGCAAAATGACTAAGGAACTTTTTTATGCAAAAAATGAGCATTTTATTTTGGTAACACTAATGAAAAAAAGAAAAGCCACTGCATTTCTGTATTGAAGTGAAAACAATGTTTAAACTGTCTTATCAAACTCAAATACATTCCAAACAAAGTGTGTTCTGTGACGGTTCCAAAGCACAGGCAAATCTTAATACAACAGTAGATGAATCCATAATACTGCAAATAAATGACCGTTCCTCAGGGTGTTTTAAGAAACAACTTCTCAATTATTAAGCCATTAAAGCAAACCGTTTCCTAATAACTGTTAAGAGTGAAATTGGGGTTGTTCCATTAATACTCTAATCATAACACTTTTTTTGTTGCTATGACATTTTAAAATAAATGTTGCTATGGCATTTTAAATGTTGCTGTACGTAAAATAAACTTTCAAAGTGGAAAAGTGTACAAAGTTTCAGATAGAAAGATTAACAGATGCAATTTAAATAAAATTTTCCCTTGTATCAACAATAAACATAATCTTTAGCGATACAGATTTGAGCTTTAAAACCTAACTTCCAAAATGAAAACTTCAATCTTAAATCTTAATCAGACACAACTGAAAAAAAATACTATATATTTTGACACCTTTTACAAGATTTTTTTTTTTGTATTAAAGCAGAAACCAGTTCCTAAATCCTTTTATTCAACTGTATATCCTGTTTGGACAAATATCAAAAATAGAAGACTGTCCCTTTTGCCTTGGTGGTGGTGACATTTTTCACTGCAGTCTTCTATAACTTTTACAGAGTTCGTGGTCCCTAATATCTCCCCACCCTCCATTTTTCCTCGGTGGGGCAATGGCTACCATGGAAAACTTCTCACCGATTATCAGTGTTTCTGGAAACATGAACTGTTTGTTATTACTTAAGAGCGCCTCAATTTGGGCACTCTGGGTGGATGGCCTACAGGCTTTCTTGTGATGCATCCCACAGTCTCCAGCATGGAAAATCCTGGGAACCTGAGGAACCAGCACTCTCCAGTATTTTGGAAGACAAGAGACAGTCAGGTACTGGAGAGTCCAGTCCCAGTTATAGTCATCGTAAGTGCAGAAAGTGTCCGTGCACTCCATCAGCTTCTGATAAGCATCCCGGGTTAAGGCGAGACCCATATTGTGCTCTGTGGACTTCCAAGTTTTCACATCTACCTTGTGAGCAATGCCGTAGAAACTGCGACTGGCAGTGTAGCTTCCCAGGGAAAGCACATCACACTCGCGACACTGCTGCTGCTTCAGTTGCCACATCTTTTTCAAGACATGATAAAAATCTGGGGCTAAGTAGTGATCCTCTTCTAGGAAGAGGATAAGGCCGGCATAATCCTGAAGAACTTTGACCCTTTCCCATACAAAATGCAGCTTCCACCACCAGTGATGCTTGGTCTGGGAGAACTTGGCCTCTCTGTAATGACCGAACGAGTCGGGGTATTCAGCATTAATGCACCCCAACTTCAAAGCTGCGTTCTTCTTTAAGTCTCGGGGGCAATCTCTGGGGTCACTGCCCGGAAACTCGTTGGGATACAACTGAATGCTGAATGGAAAGAACACCTGCAGAACTGGACAGAAATCCACTCCAGCGACTAACTGATTGATCTCTGTCGACCAGAAGTCGTGGCTGAAGATGAGCAGGACGTTTTCGATGCCCTGTGCCTTGCTAAGTGAGTCCAGCAGCAGTTTGAGGTATTCGGGTCGGTTATGCACCTGGACCACCAGCACCAACTCCCAGGGGGCCCTGGTGCCAGCCTTATCTACATTCCTCAGAGTCTGATCAAAGTTCAGCTGGTACACCAGGGACCGGTAGCGTAGCGTCTGGTTGTCGGCCCCGGGCTGCGCGGCCGCTGGGGGCAGCGGAGCCGCCGAATCGTTGGAGACCCTGCGGATGCCCACGGACACGCCGGGATGTTCCCCACCGCGGCCGTCTGCACCCCGCGCGGGCTCGGTGTCCAGCAGCGGTGGGGCAAGGGCCTCGTTCTTCCTTTGTCGCCCACTGCTGCTCCAGAGGACGAAGCAGCAGGCGGCCAGCACGAGCGTCAGGATTAGCACCTTCCGTTTGTAGATGCGGAACCTCATGGTCTCCAGGGCCAGGAGCGAGCGCAGGCGGGTGCGGAAAGGAGCTGGCGGCTTCTGCACTGGAGGGGGCAGGCGGGCGGCGGCCGCGGCTCTGGCCTGCAGCGGTAGGAACTGGCCCCCGTGGCTGCCCTCGCTAACTCATATCGGGCCCCAGGGGTCCCGGGACCCGAAGGCTCTCTCAGCTGCCCCACGTCGCTCGGGCTCCACACATCCTCACCTGGCAGCTGCAGCTCAAGCAGCGACCCCGCTGCTAGGAGCCGCGGCTTGGCGTCGCCTCAGTCCTCTCCATTCAGCACCACGGGTCCCGGAAGAAGCCCCACCGCACCCAGGCTCCGTTACCTGCGCCTCCAGCGGCCCTGCGTCCTTGGCGTTCTCATCCTCACGCCGGGCCCCCGGGACCGGCAGGACCGAGAGACGCCACCTCGCCCGAGTTCGGCGGCGACCGTTCTGACAACCCGCGACTCGCTCGCGGAACGCCGCGGCCCTCGGGCCCACACCCCTCCGGCCCGCCCCTCAGGCCATTGGTTGGCGCTTCCCAGACGCGTCCCGAGGCGCCTGGCCGCCTGGCCGCCTGCCTATTGGCTCGCGGACCTGTCGCTCAGGTCTAGTTCCTACTTCCGCCTCATTCCTCCCTTTCCTGTCGGTCGCAAGCGGCGCGAGGCGAGGGCTGCAGAGGCTGCGGTTCACGGTGAGCTGAGAACCAGACTGTAACCGTTTTGACGGGGGCCTGCGATGCTCAGAATCCGGGGGGTGGGGAGTGGATTAGACCGTTGTATCGAAGGGAAAGCGACACCTGCTGCTTTGGGTTCGTTGAGTTCGAGAACCGGCTTCTCTCCCCGGGAGCGACGCTCAGGCATGGCGGCCGCCCGGCCGTCGGACACGCCGGCTGGTTAAGGACACGTCAGCCCTCAGGGCCGCTGACTGGGACCGGGCTTTCCGAGAGGAAAAGTGAAACCAGACTCGTTAGGTCCTGGGAGAAGGAACTGGGCGGGTCAGAGCCACCAGCTACTACGTTGCACGCTTCGTAGACGGACCCGAGAGCTAGAGAAATGGAGCGAGTGGGTGTGGGGCAGGAAGGAGAAGCTCGAGTCTTCTCCCAGCGTGGAGATTAGATGAACTGCCCCCACGCCTTTTCTTTTTGGGCAGCAGTTAAGGAAACTAAGCATCGAGGGAGCCCACCTGGTATAGAGAACTGATTGTACCGGGCCTCTCTGTAGTTACTCTGCTTTTTAGTGGGTATCATTCTCTAATGCTGCATTTAAAAGCTTTCCAGAAAGGTGCCCACGTGTCGGTGTTAAATGAGTACATGATTTGTTGTTTCTGCATTACCGACTGTGAATGCTTTACTGTATTTTATTCTGTAGCACTTGGGAAAATGTCTAATGCCTGCTATTTTTACCTTTGTTGTTATAGTTCAAGTCGAAAACACTTCTACTGAACAAAAATGGTCAACGTACCCAAAACCCGAAGGACTTTCTGTAAGAAGTGTGGCAAGCATCAGCCTCACAAGGTGACGCAGTACAAGAAGGGCAAGGATTCCCTCTACGCACAGGGAAAGAGGCGCTACGACCGGAAGCAGAGTGGCTACGGCGGGCAGACGAAACCCATTTTCCGGAAGAAGGCCAAAACCACAAAGAAGATCGTGCTGAGGCTGGAGTGCGTGGAGCCCAACTGCAGATCCAAGCGGATGCTGGCCATTAAGAGATGCAAGCATTTCGAACTGGGAGGAGATAAGAAGAGAAAGGGCCAAGTGATCCAGTTCTAAACTTCAGCATTATTATTAATTTGGCTGTTAATTTTAAGGCAAACATGTTGGCAGGATAGAAAAATGATTTGCAGGAAAATAAATACTGTGGTATTCATACCCAAGTCTTTTGTATTTATTGACTCATGTTTAATGTGTTTCTAAACTAAACTAAGGAAATAACAAATTCTTTGGAATAAAAGATCTCCCTTATTTAAATTTGGTTCCTAAGACTTGGGATTTTGTATATATAATCAAAACATGAGTCCAGGATGACTTACATATTATGGAAAATACCTAATATAACCATTTTTTTCTTCCTAGTTTCAAATACATAGTAGCCCCTCTTTATAAATGAGTTAGAAGACATGCAGTGGATGCTGAACCTGTAGATTATATGTATTTTCACCATATATATATATATATATACTGAAGAGTTGAATTTGTAAAAGGTTAATAGTAATAGTAAAGTCCTATAACAAAATTGCCAGCATCGCTACTTAGTCCTTACAGATATTAAGTAAGGGTGACTCAAAGCCTTGGGACCCTGCACCCACATGGGAGACCCGGAAGGAACTCCTGGCTTCAGATCAGCTCATCTCTGCCTATTGTGGCCATCTTGGGAGTGAACCAGCAGATGTAAGATCTTTTTCTCTCTCTACAATCTTTAGTTAATTTCTTGAGAAGTTTCAAATATATTTATTTTTAACATGGCTTTGGGCTATCTTTAGCCTTTCCAGGCCATAAGCAGGAAAACTGGGTGGGAAGTAGAGCTATCAAGACATGAATTGATGTCCATATGGGATCCCAGTGTGGGTAGGGCCATGATTTTAGCCACTAATATACCACTCTGATATGTGACATGATCTGGTAACAGGTGGCCAGCAGGTTTACATTCTTGGCTGGCTTGAGCAGGATGGCAGGTTTCCTGATGTTATCAGAACAGCATACAATTTAAAGCTTATGAATTTTTCATTTCATATCCAGATCTTGGTTGAATAACTGAAAAGAGCTGTGGAGTAGCTAGTGTGTAAAGTGAATTAATCTTTGAGTAGCTGAGACTACAGCATTCCTTGTAGAAACAAGATCCAAGTTAGGGATCTGTCGGGTCAGTAGGTGCCTTATATAACTGGGCAATTTAAAAATGGGAGTTCCCGAATTACATAAACCACATTTAGTGCTGTACAACAACACACAGCTATTATCAGCCAATAAATATTTGAAAGATAGAGCATCCAAACACTGGTTGGCTTCCCACATGGCCACAAAAGCCTGAGTTGGGCCAATATGAAGCCTGGAGCTTCTTCCAGGTCTTCCCAGGTAGGGCGCAGAGACCTAAACCATTCTGTGCTTTCCCAGGACATAAGCAGGAAGTTAGAACTGGAGCACGTGGGGGCCTGATGTAGCCTCGTAGCTGAAGTTTTCACCTTGCATGCACCAGGATCCCATATGGGAGCCAGGTCCGGAAAAAGCTCCTGGCTTCAGATCAGCTCAGCTCTGGCTGTTGTGACCACTTGGGAAGTGAATCAGCAGAAGGAAGATCTTCCTCTGTCTCTCCTCTGATTTTCCAATAAAAATAAATCTTCAAAAAGGGGGGTGGGGCATGGTACAGTAGCCTAGTAGCTAAGGTCCATGCTTTGTGCAGGCCAGGATCCCATGTGGGTGCCAGTTCTAGTCCCAGTGGCCCCACTTTGCGTCCAGCTCCCTGGAAAAGCAGTTGAAAAGCCCAAAGCCTTAGGACCCTGTGCCCCTGTGTAGGAGATCGGAGGAGGCTCCTGCCAAATGGTTTTGGATCAGCTCAGCTCCGGCTGTTGCAGCTGCTTAGGGAGTGAAATGACAGATGGAAGGTCTTCCCCTCTGTCTCTCCTCTGTATATCTGACTTTCCAATAAAAACATTTTTTAAAAATTTATTCTTATTGAAAAGTCAGATTTCCAGAGAGGAAACACAGTGAGAAAGATTTTCCATCTACTGGCTCACTCTCCAAGAGGCCAAAACAGCCAGCAGCTAAACTGATCCGAGGCCAGGAGCTTCTGGGTCTCCCATGCGCGGGTGCAGGGTCCCAAGGCCTTGGGCCGTCCTCCACTGCTTTCCCAGGCCACAAAAGGGAGCTGGATGGGAAGCAGGGCCTCTGGGATTAGAACTGGCACCCATTTGGGATGTCTGCATGTGCAAGGTAAGAACTTTAGCTGCTAGGTCGCCGCGCTGGGCCCCAAAAAACATTTTTTTTAAAAAAGATCTATTATTGCAAAGTCAGATACACAGAGAGGAGGAAAAGAGAAGATCTTCCATCAGATGATTTATTCCCCAAATGACCACCATGCCAGGTGCTATGCTGATCTAAAACCAGGAACCAGGAACTTTCTCCAGGTCTCCCATGCAGGTGCAGGGTTCAAAGGCTTTGGGCATTCTTCCACTGCTTTCCCAGGCCACAAGCAGGGAGCTGGATGGGAAGCAGGGCTGCAGGGATTAGAATCAGCACCCGTAAAGGATCTCAGCACATTCAAGGTGAGGACTTTAGCTTCTAGGCTACTGTGCCAAGCCCAAAAAGCAAATCTTAAAAAAAAAAAAAAAATGGAGCAGCTGTGACATGAACCATAACCCATATAGGATGCTGGTGTTGTAAGTGAAGGATGAGCTAGCTGCACTATGCCACTGCCCTGGTCCTTATCTTGGAGGTAAACTAATATATTCTTTTAAAAATTTTTACTTATTATTTGAAAGGCAAATTTACAGAGAAAAGTGGAGGAAAGATCTTCCACTATTTCACTCCCAAAATGGCCAGAACTGACCGAAGGCAGGAGCCTGGTGCTTTTTCCAGATTTCTCACATGGGTTTTGGGCCCACAGACTTGAGCCATCCTATGCTGCCTTCTAATACTTAGAATGTATTAGTCCGGGCCCGGCGCGGTGGCGCAAGTGGTTAAAGGTCCTCGCCTTGCACGCCCGGGATCCCATATGGGCGCCGGTTCTAATCCCGGCAGCCCCGCTTCCCTTCCAGCTCCCTGCCTGTGGCCTGGGAAAGCAGTCGAGGACAGCCCAAAGCTTTGGGAACCTGCACCCGCGTGGGAGACCCGGAAGAGGCTCCTGGCTTCGGATCGGCATAGTATCGGCCCGTTGCGCTCACTTGGGGAGTGAATCATCGGACGGAAGACCTTCCTCTCTGTCTCTCCTCTCTGTATATCCGCCTTTCCAATGAAAAAAAATAATAAAAATAAATCTTTAAAAAAAAAAAAAAGAATGTATTAGTCCTCACTGGTGTATTATTATACACAATTTCTAATATTTATATGTATTTTAAAAGCAGATAGAGATCTTCCATCTACTGGTTCATTCCCAAAATGGTTTAACAGCAGGCTTGGGCAAGGCTAGACAGGAGCCAGCAGCTCCATCCTCATCTCTGACCATGGATGACAGGTCCAAGTGGGCTGTGTTCATAGCAGGGAGCTGGATGAGATGAGGGGTAGCCAGGATTCAAATCAGCACTCTGAAACAGGATGCCAGCAGAGCAAACAGTGGCTTAACTCGTGGTACCACAAAAGTGGCCCCCAAACTCAAATTTTAGACTTATTTTTACTTGAAGGTCAGAGTTATAGAACGAGAGGGAAATACAGAGATCTTCCATTTGCTGGTTCACTCCGCAAATGGCCACAAAGGCCAGAGCTGGGCTGATCTGAATCCAGGAGCTTCTTCCAGGTCTCTCGTGTGGGTGCAGGCCAATTTCTGCCACTTTCCCAGGCCATTAGCAGGGAGCTGAACTGGAAGTGGAGCAGCCAGGACCTGAATTAGTGCCCATATGGGAAGCCAGTCTTGCAGGTGCAAGATTAGCCTGCTCTCTTATTGTGCCGGCCTCTGAAATTACTGTTTAATAGAAATCAAAGACGACTAGGGCTGGGCCCATGAAGCAGTACGCTAAGCCTCTGCCTTTCGCTCTGGCATCCCATATGGGTGCTGATTTTGTTTTTGGATCCACCTTCCCACTTGTGGCCAAGAGGGCATTGGAGGATGGCTCAAGTCCTTGGGCCCCTGAACCCAGACCAGTGGACCCAATTCTGGCTGTTGTGGTCATTAGGGAGTGAACCAGCAGATGGAAGATGTCTCTCCTTTAATAAATAGAAGAAAGTTGGTTAAAAAAAAACACACGCACACGTATATATACATACATGACCAGAGTGATTGAGTAGACCAGCATTTGCTTAAGCGATAATCACACATTCATGCTGAAAACTTCAGGCTGAATTTCACACAAGTACAACAGGTTAAAAACTTAACCTCATAATAAAAGTAAATGTTTAAAAAAGATTTATTTGTTTTTTATTGGAAATTAAAATTTGCAGAGAGAAGGAAATACAGAAAGATCTTCTATCTGCTGGATCACTCCCCAAATGGCCAGAGCTGAACAGATCTGAAGTCGGGAGCCAGGACTTCTTCCAGGTCTCCCATGCAGATGCAGGATCCCAGTGTGTTGGAACATCCTCAGCTGCCTTACCAGGACACAAGCGGGGAGCTGGATGGGAAGTGAGCAGCCAGGACACTAACTGGCGTCCATATGGGATCCCAGCGCATTCAAGGTGAGGATTTTAGCCACTAGGCCATTGTGCTGAGCCCAGTAAATTTGGTTTTAATGAAATTAAAGTTTCAGTCAAATGCCTTAAAAGAGTAGCTTAGCATACTTTCCTCCTATTATGTAAACATATAAAGAAAGCTTCCCTTTTCTCTGACAGTGTTAAAACAGAAAGAAATTCCCATGTGATCTGTAAGTAAATGAAATTTGTTTTTGTGGCATTATTCATTACTTTAACGTATCAGTTGAATTCACGTAACAGGTTAGAGAACAGAAGTAAGAAATAACGGGTGCTTCAGTTCCACCCATGTTATCTACTAAGACCACAGTGTGAGCAACAGAGTGTAGGTTCATGTTAGCAGTCCCTTGAATGAAGGAGCGGAGACAGAAGCTTCCACAAACACAGGTTTTTGCAGTATCCAAATCTTCGCAAAGATGGAAAGGAATGCTATGAGAGTCATATGGGATCCTGTTGGAAAAAAAATGTTTAAAAACATTTTACAATATGTTACTAAATTTGTAGCTTCAAGTATTAGGACAGGAATTATTAGGACACTGAATCACATGACAAAAAATTATCACATATATGAGAGCATACTGTTTTATCAAGTAGGAATGGGGAAAATATGCTAAAAACAGTATATGGCATATTGCGAACTTAAAAGCCAATCTATACATTCAATGTTATTTTTCAGCACCACCACTTAATATCATACTCCACTAAACATGAATGAGGAAGTCATCTTTTCTTTATAAACTCTTCAAATATCCAAAAATTAACCACTGATTTTTGGAGATTCTAAATTCTGAACCAGTTGGACAGAGGTCAAACCTAGGCATCTGTATTTTTGTCTTTTAAGATTAGTTTATTTGAAAGGTTAGAATGAAAGATAGACTGAGATCTTCCATCTGCTAGTTCACTCCCCAGTGGCCAGGACTGGCCCAGGCAGAAGCTAGCAGCTTCATCCAGATATCCAACAGGGCGGCAGGAGCCCACACGCTCACTCCGTCTTCTGCGACACTCCTGAGAGCAGCAGGGAGCTGCATTGGAAATGCAGCACCGGGACTGGAGCTGCCATCCACGTGCGATGCTGGCAACGCAGGCTGCAGTTTAACCACAATGCTGGTCCTATATATCTCTTAGTATATTATTTAAAAGTTCCCCTAGGGAGCAAGTGATGTGGTGCGGTGGATTAGAAAATGGCTTGCAATGCTGGCATCCCATCTGGGCACCAGTTCAAATCTGGGTTATTCAAATTCTGCTCCAACTCCCTGCTAAGGCACCTGGGAAAGCAGCACAGAGTGGTCCACATACTAGAACCCGTGCCACCCATGCAGGAGACCCTGCTGAAGCTCGTGGATGCCAGCTTTGGCCTGGGGTCTCTCAGCCTGGTGTCCTGTCTCGCTGTCTCTCTCTCTGTCTCCATCACTCTGCAGTTTAAATGCATACATACACATCTAAATAAAGTTATTCCGTCATTAATGGTAACACTGACTTGTAATTCCAGGAAAACAAATCACATGCATTGATTTTTTTTTTCTTAAGATTTATTTATTTTTATTGGAAAGTCAGATTTCAAGAGAGAAGGAGACAGTAAGATTTTCCATCTGTTAGTTCACTCCCCAAGATGCCAAACCGGCCAGAGCTGAGCTGATCCGAAGCCAGGAGCCAGGAACTTCTTCCAGGTCTCCCACATGGGCACAGGTCCCAAGGCTTTGGGCCATCCTCCACTGCTTTCTCAGGTCACAGGGAGCTGGATAGGAAGTGGAGCAGCCAGAATATGAACCAGCGCCCAAATGGGATCCCAGCGCATGCTGGGTGAGGACTACCACTAGGCAACTGTGCTGGGCCCATCACATGTACTTCTATATCCAGTTAAGTATTGACACCCTTTTATGAGTCAAACAGTGTTACTGGCTATTACACATATCGTCATTTCTATTTTATTTAAGAACAGAGGCACAGAAGGAGCTCTGGCTCTCAATTGTTTGTTGACCACACAATTGCCTGCAACAGTCAGGTCGAGGCCAATCCAAAGTCAGAGGCCTAAACTCATTCTGGGTTTTCCACATGGATGGCATGGATACAAGTACCTGAGCGCACCTGCTGCTTCCCAGTGCATGCCTTTCCAACCAGGAGCAGAGGCAGGATTCAAACTGACACTGCAATGGAACATGAGTGAACGAAGCCTTATATCAACTGCTGTGCCAAACACACATCCCTGCATTGTCATTAAACATGCAATTTTTTGGGCCCAGTGTGACAGCATATTGGTTAAAGTCCTGGCCTTTCACACAACACCGGGATTCCAGATGGGCGCCAGTTCTAATCCCGGCGGCCCCGCTTTTCATCCAGCTCCCTGCTTGTGGCCTGGGGAAGCAGTCAAGCCTTGGGACCCTGCACCTGCTTGGGAGACTCAGAAGAGGCTCCTGGCTTCGGATTGGCTCAGCACCAGCCGTTGCGGCCATTTGGGGAGTGAGCCATCAGATGGTAGATCTTTTTCTTTGTCTCTCCTCCTCTCTGTACATCTGCCTTTCCAATAAAAATAAATAAATCTTTAAAAAGAAAAAAGCTCATAGAAAAAGAAATTAGAAGATAAATTTATTTTAAAAAAAAAACATGTAATTTTCTAAAAAACATCTATTTAAACTGGAAAGTCAGGATTTACAGCAAGGACACACAAACATTTCCCATCTGCTGGTTCATGCCCCAAGTGCCCACAATAGCCAGACTTGAGCTGACTGAAAGCCAGGAGCCCGGAGTCTCTTCCTGGCCTTGGGCTGTTTTCAGCTGCTTTTCCAGGATCCAGGAGTTCTTTTTGGGTCTCCCACCTGGCTGCAGAGGCCTAACCTGTGAGCTAGCCTCCACTGCTTTCCCAGGTGCTAGCTGGGAGCAGGGTCAGGAGCGGGGCAGGTGGAACTAGATGCCATCACCACAGACAGTTTTTTTTTTTTAAGATTTATTATTTTTTAATTTTTTTATTGGAAAGGCAGATAGATATACAGAGAGGAGAGACAGAGAGGAAGATCTTCCGTCCGATGATTTACTCCCCAAGTGAGCCACAACGGTCGATGCTATGCTGATCCGAAGCCAGGAGCCTCTTCTGGGTCTCCCACGCGGGTGCAGGGTCCCAAAGCTTTGGGCTGTCCTCGACTGCTTTCCCAGGCCACAAGCAGGGAGCTGAATGGGAAGAGGGGCCGCTGGGATTAGAACCGGCGCCCATATGGGATCCCGGGCGTGCAAGGCGAGGACCTTAACCACTTGCGCCACCGCGCCGGGTCCCACAGACAGTTTTAGGCTGCTATGTTCCTGTGCAGGACCCTGTTTAGTTTTTCAAACAGTATATCCCTCTTTTTAAAAAGAAGCTTAAAATGTCTTTTTTTTTTTAAAGATTTTTTTCATGTTTATTTGGAAAGTCAGATACATAGAGAGGAGAAGAGACAGAGAGGAAGATCTTCCGTCCGATGATTCACTCCCCAAGCGGCCGCAATGGCCATAGCTGAGCCAATTTGAAGCCAAGAGCCAGGAGCTTCTTCTGGTCTCCCATGTGGGTGCAGGGTTCCAAAGCTTTGGGCCATCCTCGACTGCTTTCCCAGGCCACAAGCAGGGAGCTGGATGGGAAGCAGGTTGGCCAGGATTAGAACCGGCACCCATATGAGATCCCGGCACTCGTTCAAGGTGAGGACTTTAGCCACTAGGCTATTGCGCTAGTCCCCAAAAATGTCTTTTTTGAATCAGGATATTCCTGGGGTCAGCTTTGTGATGGTTGGCTCTGTGATGTGGCATATGAAGCCACTGCCTAAGACAGCAGCATCCCATAAGAAGGCCAAGCTGAACCACTCATGATTCAGTTTCTTGCTAACATGCCTAGTCAAGTAGCAGAACACAGCCCAGTGGTTGAACCTCTGCACCGGGAAGAGGCTCCATGCTCCTGGCTCTGATCTAGCACAGCCCTAGCAAATGCAGACATCTGGACAGTGAGCCAATGGATGGAAGATCTCCCTGTCTTTCCCTCTAACTATGCCTTTCAGATAAATAAATATTAAAAAATAAAAGAAATATTTCTATCCTTTGATTCACATTTTAACTTCCACATCTACATGCAAGAAACATAAATAAGATTAGTAACAAGTTCAAAGTGTCATGAAAACAACTACAGTGAGTGTTCAAAAAACAACAACAAAAAAAAAATCAAAGAGGGTCCAGTGCCATAGCATAAAAATTAAAGTCCTTGCCTTGCATGCACTGGGATCCCATATGGCCGCCAGTTCTACTCCCGGCAGCCCTGCTTCCCATCTAGATCCCTGCCTGTGGCCTGGGAACACAGTTGAGGACGGCCCAAAGCCTTGGGACCCTGTGCCTGTGTGGGAAGAAGCTCCTGGCTCCCGGCTTTGGATCAGCTCAGCTCTAGCCACTGCTGCTGCTTGGGGAGTGAATCATTGGACCGACGATCTTTCTGTCTCTCCTCCTCTCTATTTATCTGACTATCCAATTAAAAAAAAAAAGCAACTGTATCCTAGTCCCATGATTTAGGTTTGGAGTGTAGCTCAAGACCTTGTATCTCTGGCAAACTTCTAGACAATGCTAATGCTGGGGGTAAGGGGACTTACACTTTGAAAAAATGCATTCATTCTTCAATTATTTTTTTAAAGATTTATTTATTTGTTGGAAAGTCAGATATACAGAGAGGAGGAGAGACAGAGAGAAAGATCTTCCGTCCGATGGTTCACTCCCCAACTGAGCACAACGGCCGATGCCATGCCGATCCGAAGCCAGGATCCAGGAACTTCTTCCAGGTATCCCACGTGGGTGCAGGATCCCAAGGCTTTGGGCTGTGCTCGACTGCTTTCCCAGGCCACAAGCAGGGAGCTGGATGGGAAGTGGAGCTGCCGGGATTAGAACTGGCACCCATATGGGATCCTGGGCAAGTTCAAGGCGAGGACTTTAGCTACTAGGCCACAGTGCCGGGTCCTCATTCAATTTTTTTTTAAAAGATCAATTATCAATTTTTCCTGTATGAATGGTAGAGTAATGAAAACGAAAGAGAAAAAAGACAACTTCCATCTGCTGGTTACCTCTTCAAGTGGTCATCACAGATGGAGATGGACTAGGTTAGAGCCAGGGGCCCAGAATCCAGCAGTCTCTTGTGCTGGCAGGGGTTCCAGGGTTCAAGCCATCACGTGCAGCTTCTCAGGGGGCTGGACCAGGTGTTCAGTAGCCAGGACTCAAATTGGCCCTCTAATACACAAAGCAGTTGTCCCACGTATGAGGTTGTACTACAATGCCCAGCCTCAACCTGAATACATATTAAGCAGTGATATATTCATAGACCAGAAGATACTACAAGTTAGAATGTATAAAAACAGTGGAGAATAAACAAAATCCACGCTCACGTGGATTCTGCATTTCACTGGGGAAAACTGACAACAATGTCCAAAATGAAAGACAGGCTCTGCAGCATCCCAAGTGCAACTACCGTTAGCAGAAGCGCCATCCCACATGGGTGCTGGCTTGAGACCCTGCTGCGCCACTTTTAATCCAGATCCATGACAATGCACCTGGGAAAGCAACGTGGAGCCCTACACATAGGTGGGAAACCAGGAATAAGCTCCTAACTCTGGGATTCTAGTTCTGGTTGGGCTCAGTTCCAGCTGTTACAGCCATACGAGGAGTGAACCAGTGTTTGGAAGCTCTCTTTGCTTTTCAAGTAAATAAATGAATTGTAAACAAAACATATAATGCCAGAGCCAATGTTCTGGCATGGTGGGCAGCCACCTACAAAACATTTTCCATACGGGAGCTGCTTTGTGCCCTGGCTACTTTTCAATCCAGCTCCCTGCAAACAGCCTGACAAAAGCAGCATAGGATGGCCCAAATGCCTGAGTCCCTTTCAGCAAAGTTGGGGACTGTATAAAGCTCCTAGTTTTGGCCTCACTCAGCACTGGCCATTGAGGCTATCTGGGGAGTGACCCAGGGTATGCTAAGATCTAACTCTTTCAAATACACAGATACATACATAGATACAAATGTAAATATAAATATACACATATATATACGTGTGTGTACATGCCAAGCAACAGATCCTATGACAAAAAAACAGTTCAAGTCACGTAAAGAGCTAGGGAATGAAACTTTACAACTGTCAGGTAAGAACTTTCTGGAGGGCCCGGCACAATAGCAAAGTGGTTAAAGTCCTCGCCTTGAAGGCTGGCATCCCATATGCGCGTTGGTTCTAATCCTGGCAGCTCCTCTTCCCATCCAGCTCCCTGCTTGTGGCCTGGGAAAGCACTTGAGGACGGGCCAAAGCCTTGGGATCCTGCACCCACGTGGGAGACCTGGAAGAGGTTCCAGGCTCCTGGTTTCGGATCAGTGCAGCTCTGGCCACTTGGGGAATGAACTATCGAATGGAAGATCTTCCTCTCTGTCTCTCCTCCTCTCTGTATATCTGCCTTTCCAATAAAAATAAATAAATTTTTTTAAAAAAAGAACTTTCTGGAATGATACTTGGACAGAGAGTTGAATGAAGTACGTAAGCTATGATAAGGAACAACCTGGTGACAAACCTAGGTTGGTACCAAAGACCACACCTTGTAACTATTAAAACCTTACCTCTTCCCAAGTACGGCCCGTGCAGAGGATTCTAACAAAGTTAATGGCACTTGCAGCTTTATAACTGGAAGGACTTTTGGTTGTTCAAAAGTATTTCCAAAAAGATCCAAGTACTCAAGGGATAAATTTTTAAATTCACTTGGCAGAAACAGAAGCTTATTTCGAGCTGCTGACAAAAACCGAAGGTTTGTTAGTTGTCCTATCTTGAAAGGAAACTGCATCAATTCATTATCATCCACTTTTAAAATGATGAGCTCTCGGAGCTGGCAAAACTGCACAGGCAGCGCTCTGATTCTGTTCTTGCTGAGATCCAAGCTTCGAAGAGACTTCTGGAGTGTAGACTGACACAGGTCTACGCTGAACGACTCCAAGTGGTTATCATTCAGGTTAAGGTCTTGAAGGTGAATGAGGTCTCCAATCGTAGCTGGCAGCTTTTTTATATGGTTATGACTCAAGTCTAATTTCCTAAGGTTTTTCAGGCAAAGCATACGCATATCAACTCGGACGAGGTTACAGTAAGAAGTCTGAAGATGCTCCAGGGAATAGGGAAAGCTCGTGCTTAGAGGATAGTCCTTTTTGGATGTGATAATCATTTTAGTTTTAAATTTTTCAAATTCAGAAGCCTTTACTGGCGCAAGTGTTGAAAGTTGCACATTGACACCACAGCCTCTATGAGCCAGTCTCACAGTTGAAAGAAAATCCTTTAAGTGCTTGGAGTTGGCCTGAATAAATGAAAATAAATTGTGCAATTACATATTGTACATTAGATAATACACGCATGCTAACTCTAGAATTATATATGAAGGTTATACAATCACTTAACTGAAGTTGGATCTAAAACGTAAATATTTTAGGGCCCGGAGCAGTGGCCTACCTGCCAAAGTCCTCGCTTTGAACGCGCCAGGATCCCCTGTAGCAGCTGGTTCTAATCCCAGCAGCTCCGCTTCCCATCCAGCTCCCTGCTTGTGGACTGGGAAAGCAATGGAGGATGGCCCAAAATCTTGGGACCCTGCACCTGTGTGGGAGACCCGAAAGAGCTCCTGGTTCTTGGCTTCAAATTGGCACAGCTCTGGCTGTTGTGGCCACTTGGATAGTGAATCATTGGATGGAAGATCTTCCTCTCTGTCTCTCCTCCTCTCTCTCTATATATCTGACTTTCCAATTAAAATAAAATAGATAAATAAATACTTTAAAAATGTAAATATTTTAGCATTTGGACTAAATTTCAATGTAACCTTTTTGAGGGGCTGGTGTCCTGTGAGTACTGGTTTGAGTCTTGATTGCCCCATTTTCAATCCAGCTCCCTCCTGAAGACCTAGCAAAAGCAGCAGGATATGGCCCGAGTACATGGGACCCTACATTCATGTGCGGGACCCAGAAAAAGCTTTTGATTCCTGACTTCAGTCTGGTTCAGCCACTGTTGCTCTATCTATCTGGGAAACGAACCAGCAAATAGAAGCTCTCTCTGTCTGTCCCTCTCTCTATGCATCTGCCTTTCAATAAACATAACATTAATAAAAGGTTTTTGAAAAAAAAAACTATGTCACGAATATATATTCTAAATAAAGCTATTTTCTATAGGTGATAAATAAAACTGTTCAAAGGCCAAACAATAAAAGTATAAAATAAGACAGGTTCCATGTGAGACTTGGGCTTAAAGATAAACGACCCAAACTGTCCACTACCTTTGAAACAGGACATGCTGGAAGCTGTGCGCTGTTCCTAGGGTGCCATGTACACAGTGAGTCACACACAGTGACATCCTTATTGAAACATGATGCCAGAAAACACACAGGGCAAGAGTGAGATGGAGAAATTATCGATAAAGTAGCATCTCATTGAAAAACAGCTAACACTGGGAGGGTACTTGGGAAGCTAACATGTATAGGTAAAGGACAAGAGATCTTGCAGGAAAATGGGAGCTAGGGAGAAGAGAAAGACTGGAAATATGGTAGACTGTAAGTAAGCCTGGACGTAAGGAGAAAGGAAAGGGCAGGAGAGAAACCACTGAAGAATTTTGGGCTGGACTATAAGACAGGGGCTGGCGTGATGGGTGAAGCCCCCACCTGCAAGCCTGGTATACTATACTGGTGCTGCTTCATGTCCCAGCTGCTTAATTTCTGATCCAGCTTCCTGTTAAAGGCCTGGGAAAAGCAGCAAAGATGGCGCAAGTGCGGCCCAGAGTGGTGGAAGAGTGGCTAAAGTTCTCACATTGCATGTGCTGTGATCTCAAAAGTGCGCCAGTTCTAATCCCGGAGACCCCTGGGAAAGCAACGGAGGACCGTGTAAAGCCTTGGGACCCTGCACCTGCCTTCAGGCTCCTGGCTTCGGATCAGCTCAGCTCCGGCCATTGCGGCCAAGTGGGAAGTCAATCAGCTAACAGAATATTTTCCTCTCTGTCTCTCCTCCTCTATATATCAAAATTTCCAATAAAATAAAATCTTAAAAAAAAAAAAATGATGGGCCACGTGCTTGGGTCCTTGACACCAAAATGGAACATCTGATGAACCTCCTGGCTCCTGACTTTGTCTTGTCTAGGGAGTAAACCAGCAGAAGGATACTCTTATTCCCTTCCTTCTTCCTTCTATGTTTAACTCTGACATTCAAAACAAATACATTTTTTTAAGATTTATTTTATTTTTATTGGAAAGGCAGATATACAGAGAGGAGGAGAGGCAGAAAGATCTTCTGTCTGATGATTCACTCCCCAAGCAGCCGCAATGGCTGGACTTGTGCCGACCCGAAGCCAGGAGCCAGGAGCCTCTTCCAGGTCTCCCATGCAGGTATTAGGTCCCAAGGCTTTGGGCCATCCTCCATTGCTTTTCCAACCACAAGTAGGGAGCTAGATGGGAAGTACAGCTGCCGGGATTAGAACCGGCGCCCATATGGGATCCCAGTGTGCACAGGGTGAGGATTTCAGCTGGTAGGCTATCGCACCGGGGCCCAAATAAATTTTTTTTAAAAAATTCACAGAAAAAAAGGAATTACAAGACAAGGGGCTGGTATTCTAGTACAGTAGGTTAAACCACTCCTTGGGAAAATGACACGCCATACTGCGACTGCTAAGGTTTTTTTATCCAACTTCTCGATAATGTGCCTGGAAAGGCAGTGAACGATGTCTGAACTGTTGGGGCCTGGGTCACCATGCGGGAGACCTGAATGGAGTTCCCCGTACCGCTCTTTAGATTGGACTAGCCCTTAATGCTGTGGCCACTCGGGAAATGAGCCATTGGAAGGTGGAAGGAAGGCTGCTTTCTCTCCCTATCCCTTTGCCTTAAAATCATTAATTATTGTTAAAAAATGGTATGTGGTTTGTAGGAGTGAATGGCCTCATAGTTAAAATATCAAATGGGGGGGCAGGCAGGGAGGGAGGACACACTGTGACGTAGCAAATTAATCGACCGCCTTTGGACCACTACAACCTGCAGTACTAACATGCCCTGAGCACTGGTTGGTGTGCCTGCTGGTTATTCCACTTCCAGTCAAGCTCCCTGCAACTGTCCCCAGGGCCAAGGCAGTGGCGAGAGGGAAGAGGTGAGAGGAGTAGCGGAGGATGTAAATCTGCCTTTTCAAGAAAAATAAATGAATCTTAAAAATTTATATTTATTTATTTTTACTGGAAAAACAGACTAGAATTTATGGAAAGAGAGTCAGAGAGAACATCTTTTGTCCAATTATTCACTCCACAAATGGCTGCAACAGCTGGAGCTGAGCTGATCCAGAGCCAGGAACTTCTTCCAGGTCTCCCATGCAGGTGCAGGGTCCCAAGGCTTTGGGCCATCCACGACTGCTTTCCCAGGCCACAAGCAGGGCTTCCGGGATTGGAACCGGCGCCCATATGGGATCACAGCACTTGCAACAGCCATTGAGCCAATACATTGGGACCAAAATAAATAAATAAATAAATAATTCATAAATCTAAGAAAAAGAAAACACAGCTAAGCATCTTAATTACTGATGTTTCTAATACCATACCTTACTTAAACAGATGTCCACAGGAGGCTCTTTTAACCGAACAGTTGCTTTCCCCTCATCCACAAACTTGGTGAAGAATTGTTCAATATTCTCCTTCAGCTGCTTAAAATCAATGGGTAAAAAAGAGATTAAACCAGATAGTGTTATGCAATAATATCTTTTTTAAAGACTTATATTTTTTAAATTGAAAAGTCAGATATATTTAGAGGAGGAGAGACAGAGAGGAAGATCTTCTGTCTGATGATTTACTACCCAAATGGCCACAACAGACAGAACTGTGCTGATCTGAAGCCAGGAGCCCACAGCTTCTTCCGGTTCTCCCACACAGGTGAAGGGTCCCAAGGCCTTGGGCTGTACTCGACTGCTTTCCCAGGCCACAAGCAGGGAGCTGGAAGGGAAGCGGGGTCGCTGGGACCAGAACCGGTGCCCTTATGGGATCCCAGTGTGTGCAGAGAGGACTTTAGCCACTAGGCTACCATGCCAGGCCCTGCAATATTTATAACAACCTAAAATGTGCCAATTACTTTGTCAGGCTGGGGTTTGTTTTTCAGCCCTTTAATTGTGGGTGTTGTAGCATTTTTTGAGAGGTGGTCATATGGTGCAACAATTATGATGTGCTAGTGACACCTGCATTCCCTGACAGTGTAGCTGGGTGTGAAGCCCAGCTCTACTTGTGATTTTAGCTTTCTGTAATGTACACGCTAGGATACCACAGCTGATGGCTCAAGTGACTGGTGTCCCTCCCACCCACATGGGAACTGGATCGAGTATGAGATTCTGGCTTTCATTCTTTTTTTAAAAAAGATTTATTTATTTTTATTGGAAAGTCAGATTTACAAAGAGAAGAAGATACAGAGGAAGGTCTTCCATCGTCCGGTTCACTCCCCAAATGGTAACAGCCAGAGCTGAATTGATTTGAATCTAGGAGCCAGAAGCTTCTTTCAGGTCTCCCACACGGGTGCAGAGTTCCAAGGCTTCAGGTGATCTTTGACTGCTTTCCCAGGCCACAAGCAGGGAACAAGATGGGAAGTGGAGCAGCTGGGACATGAACTGGCACCCATATGGTATCCCAGTGAGTGCAAGGTGAGGATTTAGCTGCTGAGCCATTGCACTGGACCCCAATCCTGGTTGTTGCAAGCCTTAGGGGAAAACCAGCAGATGGAACAACTGTTATTCTGGCTATCAAGATGGAAAACAAACACACAAACAAACAAACAAATAAATTTATTTATTTATTTTTAAAAATGTGTCCAGTGTTGCATCATATCAGGTAAAGCCACCACCTGTAGTGCCAACATCGCATTTAGGTGCCACTTTGAGTCCTGGTTACTTCACTTTGAATCCAGGTTACCAATGATGCACATGGACAAGCACTGGAAAACGACCCAAATGCTTGGGTTTCTGCACCCACATGAGAGACGCAGGAGAAGCTCCCGGCTTCGGCTTTGGTTTGCCTCAGTGCTGGTCGCCGCAGCCATAGAGAGAGTGAGCAGGCACGTGGAAGATGTCTCTCTCTGCCTCTGCTTCTCCCTTTCTGTAACTCTTCCTTTCAAATAAATAAATAAATCCTTAAAAAAATTTCCTCAGAGTGTGGTCATTTGGTATAGTGTCTAGAAAGCCACTTGGGACACCTGCATCCCATACTGGAGTTTCTGGCTTCAAGTCTTAGCCCATCTTCTGATTTGAACTTCCTGTCAGTATGTCCTCTACATGGCAGCAGTTGAGTCCCTGCCACTCACAGGACAGACCCAGACTGAATTCCATCCCAGCTATTCCGTGGGCATCTGAAGAGTGAGCCAGTGGGTGGCAGAGATATCTTTCTCAAATAAAAGTATTTTTAGGGCCCGGCGCGGTGGCGCAAGTGGTTAAGGTCCTCGCCTTGCACGCCCAGGATCCCATATGGGCGCCGGTTCTATCCCGGCCGCCCCGCTTCCCTTCCCGCTCCCTGCCTGTGGCCCGGGAAAGCAGTCGAGGACGGCCCAAAGCTTTGGGACCCTGCACCTGTGTGGGAGACCCGGAAGAGGCTCCTGGCTTCGGATTGGCATAGCATCGGCCATTGCACTCACTTGGGGAGTGAATCATCGGACGGAAGATCTTCCTCTCTGTCTCTCCTCTCTGTGTATCTGCCTTTCCAATAAAAAAATAATAAAAATAAATCTTTAAAAAAAAAAAAGTATTTTTAAAAATAGTCATGTTATGGGATTGGAGGCATGGCGTATCATGTTAAGCTTCTGCATGTGGCACTGATACTCCATAAAGGCAATGCTTTGAGTCCCCACTGTTCCATTTCTGAACCAACCTGCTGCCAATGTGCCAGGGAAACCAGAGGAGGATGAATGGCCAACTCCTTAGGCCTCAGCACCCATGTTAGAAGAACCTAAAGAAGCTCCTGGCTCCAGATCAGCCCTCCTGGCCATTTGGGAGTAAATAAGCTGAAAAAAATCTGTCTCTCCTCTCTCTGTAACTTTGTCTTTCAAATAAAAAAGTAGGGCCCAGCACAATGGCCTAGTGGCTAAAGTCCTCGCCTTGCACTGGGATCCCATATGGCTGCCGGTTCTAATCCCAGCATCCCTGCTTCCCATCCAGCTCCCTGCTTGTGGCCTGGGAAAGCAGTCGAGGATGGCCCAAGGCCTTGGGACCCTGCACCCAAGTGGGAAATCCAGAGGAGCTCCTGACTCCTGGCTTCAGATTGGCTCAGCTCCAGCTGTTGAAGTTACTTGGGGAGTTAGCCATCGGACAGAGGATCTTTCTCTCTGTCTGTCCTCCTCTCCGTACACCTGTGTTTCCTATAAAAATAAATAAATCTTTAAAAACAAAACAAAACAGGGCCCGGCGCAGTGGCGCAAGTGGTTAAGGTCCTCGCCTTGCACGCCCGGGATCCCATATGGGCGCTGGTTCTAATCCCGGCAGCCCTGCTTCCTTTCCAGCTCCCTGCCTGTGGCCCGGGAAAGCAGTGGAGGACGGCCCAAAGCTTTGGGACCCTGCACCCGTGTGGGAGACCTGGAAGAAGTTCCTGGATCCTGGATTCGGATCGGCATAGCATCGGCTGTTGCACTCACTTAGGGAGTGAATCATCGGATGGAAGATCTTCCTCTCTGTCTCTCCTCTCTGTATATCCGCCTTTCCAATAAAAAAATAATAATAAAAATAAATCTTTAAAAAAAAACAAAAACAAACAAACCAACAAAAAAAGTAACTTTTTTTAGGTGCCAGTATCATGGCTCTACAAGCCAATCCTCCACCTTTAAGCACCAGAATTCCACATGGGGGCCCGGTATAATAGCGTAACAGTTAAGGTCCTCACCTGTATGCGCCGGGATCCCATATGGGCACCGGCAGCTCCACTTCCCATTCAGCTCCCTGCTTGTGGCCTTGGGGCCCTGCACCCGCACAGGAGACTCAGAGGAAGGTCTTGGCTCCAAGCTTCAGATCAGCTCAGCTCTGGCCATTGCAACTACTTGGGGAGTGAACCAGCGGTTGGAAGCTCTTTCTTTCTGTATCTCTTCTCAGCAAAATCTGCCTTTCCAATAAAAATAAACAATTCTGAAAAAAAAAATTCCAGGGGAATGCATGTGGCACAGTGGTTGCAACGCCAGTTGGAACACTCCCATCCTGAATCAGAGTGGCTCGGCTTGAGTCCTGGCTGCAATTCCACATCCAGTTTCCGGGTGTCACACGCCAAGGACAACAGTAGGCAGTGGCTCAAGTACCTCATCTCCCTGCCACCTATGCAGCAGAACCGCATTGGGTGTTCTGGGGTTTTGGGATTCTGTGTCTGATCTTGTCAGACTGGCTGTACAGGTGCCCAGAGATGGAAGACAGCTGTTCATGTGTTTTAGATAAATACAAACTCAAGAGACTTCCAACAGGCAATAAATTCAAGTTCAAAGTTAAGGAAAAGGACTAGCTAATAAAAACATTTAGGAGTCAAGAGTTATAGCTGAAGCTAAATTCATGAGGCAGCAAGGCAGAGGGTTTAACAAGAATCCCTGGGTACCTCCTTCACGCAGCACCAACACTCATCCTTTAGTATCCAGGCCTAGCATCACCTAATTCACCTAAATCCACGTAGATTTATTTGGCACTTAATATGTCCTGAGTGCTGCAGCTAAAGCTTCAAGCTTCACAACAAAATTTTGATTAAGAACCCTGCAGTGGGAGCTGGTACTAAGGTACAGCAGGTCAAGCTGTCTGGGACAGAGCTGCATTCCTGGCTTCCAACTGCATGCCTTTGTCCTGTTCTTGGAAAATAGTGGACGATGGCCCAAGTGTTTGGAATCCTGCCACCCACGTAAGACACCTGCATGGAGTTTCCAGGTCCTGATTTCAGCCCGGCTCAGTCCCAGATATTGTGTCCATTTGGGAAGTGAACCAGCAAATGGGAGGATCTCTGTCACTCTTTCAAGAAACAAAATCCATCTAAAAAACACACCAGTAGGGCCCAGCGGTGTGGCCTAGCAGCTAAAGTCCTCGTCTTGAACCCGCTAGGATCCTATATGGACACCGGTTCTAATCCCGGCAGCTGCACTTCCCATCCAGCTCCCTGCTTGTGGCCTGGGAAAGCAGTCGAGCACAGCCCAAAGCCTTGGGATCCTGCACCCACGTGGGAGACTTGGAAGAAGTTACTGGTTCCTGGCTCCGGATTGGTGCAGCACCACTCACTTGGGGAGTAAATCATCGGACAGAAGATCTTCCTCTCTGTCTCTGCTCCTCTCTGTATATCTGACTTTGTAATAAAAATAAATAAATCTTAAAAAAAAAAACACTAGCGAAGTAGACATTTATTTAGTCAAGTAGTTAAGATATCCATAGCCCACATCCGCTGTGGTTACGGACCCAGCACTCCTGCAATGCAGACACTGAGAGGCGGCAATATCGGTACAAATGAACTGGGTTTGTTACCCACATGGGAGATCTGAACTCCCACCAGAGTGTCATTGCAGTAGAAGCTTTAAGAAAAACAGCATTGCAGGCTTTTAAAAGTAGCAGTGGGCACAGCCTCGTGGTTCAACAGGCTAATCTTCCACCGCTAAGTGCCAATATCCCAGCTGTTTATGTCCCAGCTATTCCACTTCCTATCCAATCCCCTGTTTGTGGCCTGAGAAAGCAGTAGAGGATGTCCCAAGGCCCTGGGACCCTGTACCCATGGGGGAGTCCTGGAGGAGGCTTCTGGCTACGTATCAGCTCAGTTCTGCAATTTGGGGAGTGACCCAGCAGATGGAAGACCTCGTCTTTCCTCTCTGTAAATCTGCCTTTCAAAAAATAAATAAATAAATAAATAAAAATAAAGAGGAAAATCAGCAGTACCTGAAATGGGTATGAAAGAAGTGAGTTTATGGGAAGACAACTGGAGAGCCAATTCGAGCTGCAAGCTTGCTTCTGTCACCTAATAGTTTCTAATCCACAATATATTGGGATTTCCAGTGTTATTTTTTTTTTAAGATTCATTTATTTTCATTGGAAAGGCAGATTTACGGAGAGGAGATACAGAGAAATCTTCTGTCTGCTGGTTCACTCCCCAAATGGCCGCAACAGCCTGAGGTGAGCTGATCCAAGGCCAGGAGCCTAGAGCCTCTTACAGATCTTTCACACAGGGTCTCAAGGGCCATCCTCAACTGCTTTCCCAGGCCACAGGCAGGGAGCTGGGTGGGAAATGGAGCACCGGGGATATGAACCAGCACCTATATGGGATCCTAGCATGTGCGATGCAAGGACCTTAGCCACTAGGCTACCACACCAGGCCCTCCAAATTTTCTTTCAATTCCAAAAGTGTCATCAATGATGTCAGGCACAGGGAAACATTTAGGCTTTCCATTACTTACGTCAAACACCTAACGCTTCATAAATGAACAGTAACATTTCATTTCCTCCGCTAAGCATGTTCACCGTGGAACATAACACCATTAAGGAAATAATCCCAGAAACCCTTTCATCCCATCAGAAGTCCAATAGCAGGGGGCGTGGTGAAACACCCTCTCGGTTGTGGACACACAAGTACCCCAGTCACTTTCACAAAAACAACACGGTGGAAAGGAAAAGTTACAAATCCTGCGCTCTTTAGTTTCTAAACTCCCAAGAGCCTGTCCAGCAGTTACTATTGCTCGGCAAATACCAAAATGCTGTGAACCCTAAGAACCCAGGGAGGGAACACTTACCCATAATTGAAAGCATCGCTATTTCGCTGCTGAACTAACCTGGCCTACCGACTCCTATTGTCTCCGAGATGCTTCGGTTACAAACCGTGACAGGCAGAATTTGCAGCGGTTTCAGACACGCCGAATCTCGCCCCACAACAACAGCGCGAACCCGGAGTGGCAGGTAACGATCGAAAGGCTGCCTTCCGCCGAGCTCTGGACCCTTCCCACCCGGCCACCGCCTGCCCCGTCCGCCCACCTCATAGCGGGTCCCGCGTTTATCCTTCAGGGTGGAGACGAGCAGACAGGCGCGCGGCGGCCCGGGCAGCTGACTTCTGGGCGTCTGCTCACAAACACTCAACACGGCCCGCACGCCCTTGCCCCGGTTCCTCATGCCCAAGGTGGGCAAGCGCCGGCTGACCACCTCCACGTCGCAGTGCAGCTTCATCGCGCCCGAGCCAGGACTAGCCTGGACCTCGATTTTGAAGACTTCCGTCTTCCCGCCTCCCGCGCGCGGCCGCCGGGGTCCTCGGGCGCACAGGCTGCCCGCGGCTGAGCCTGCCCGGGCGTGAGGCGGGGTCTCGGGCCCGCCCAGGTGCGTGTCCTCCGAGGCCCACGGCGGGGTGCTGGCCTCAGTTCCTCTGCCGGACTGAGTCCTCGCTGAGAGCCGGGCGGCGAGGTGAGACCGCCGGAGTGTACCGGTGGAAGCCGGCGCTCGCCGGGGGCGCGAGGTCCTTCCCTCACGGCGCGGGGCGGCTGCAGGCGTTCTGATGGGGGCGGATTCCGAGGATTTGCACTCCCAGTCACTTCAGGACCCCGTGAGCTTAGAAAAGCAACAATCTTTAAAAAAAAAAAAGAGAGAGAGAGACACTCATGCTTCAACATCGGTTTTGGAGATCTAGTGCCACCACTTCCCTGTCTCACACTAATAAAATTTACCCTCAAACTGGTTTTGTCACCAATCTGATCTGCGTTAAGCTGAACGGAGTCACAGGAAAAGAGTATGAGAGTTTAAAAAAAGGGGGGGACGATATAAGAGTTTGCTAGCTTCAACATTTTTTTTTAAAGATTCATTTATTTTTATTGGAATGTCAGATATATAGAGAGGAAGAGAGACAGAGAGGAAAATCTTCCATCCACTGGTTCACTACCTAAGCAGTCGCAATGGCCAGAGCTGTGCCAATCTGAAGCCAGGAGTCAGGAGCTTCTTCTGAGTCTCACGCATGGGTGTAGGGTTCCAAGGCTTTGGACCATCCTCTATTGCTTTCCCAGGGCACAAGCAGGGAGCTGAATGGGAAGCAGGGCCGTTGGGATTAGAACTGGTGCCCATATGGGATCCTGGGGTGTGCAAGGCTAGGACTTTAGCCACTAGGCTACCACACCAGGCCTTTGAACTTGTTTTACAGAGGGAGTCAGGGGGAAAGTTCCTGTTGCAGCATCATACTTAGCAGGGTGCAGCCCACCCTGTAGAGGGAGAGCACAGCAGACCACTGTGGGTGAAGAACCCTTGGGTTCCTGCTTTTCTACATCTTGGATGTATGTTACCAGCCAGTAGGGCCCTTTCTTGATCATGGACACTCAACTAACCGTTGCTAGAACAGCCCTGGTTAAACTGCTTGTCCCAGAGGCAGTTTCTCTGACATCTTCTGCATCTCCTTTACTGATTCTAAGCAATGGAGTTCTCCTGGGAGCAGCTCCTGCTTCAGGCTTAGGGCTGGGCAACATTCCAAGGGGATGGGCCACTGGTGATGTCTGCTAACAGCTCACCTGTAAATGTAATAAAAATGGAAATACATGGGGTAGGGGTGGGGGCAGCCCTGAGCAGGGGCTGTGGTGGTTCAAGGGGATCCGGCTGCGGGGGCTGCGCTCGCTGTGGGGCTGCTGAGAAAACTACTCAAGTTTCTGTGGAAGAAAAGTGGGATTTCATAAGAACATAATGGATGGATAGGAGAAAACCTATGGTGGCTGTGAAGGCCCTGACACCATGTATGTCAAGTTGATATCTTCTGATGGTCATGAATTTATTGTAAAAACACAGCGTGCACTAACATCAGGAACAATTAAAGCCATGTTGAGTGGCCCAGGGCAGTTTGCCGAAAATGAAACCAATGAGGTCAACTGTATATTATATTTTTTTCTCAATCTTTAACTCCTTTTTTTTTTTTTTGTAATCTTACATAGTTGATTAGGACACAAAGGGTCAAGGGCCACAGGGAAGTGGGTAAGACCACTTTTTCCACATTAATATCATTTTTCCCCCCTGTATCTATCTGAGGTCAAGGGAGAAACAAAGGGAGAAGTCCCACCCACCCTCCACCCACCCAAGGGTCCCCAGTGTGGGGCATGCTCCAAGGGTCCTGCTCAAGCAGTTTTGATAGTTCAGCAGTTTTGAATTGCTGCCAATCTCACCGTTCCAAGCACAATGAAATCTCTTCAGAATCTACAGGCTGACATGGTCTCTTCATGGTTGGGGTTCTGAGATCAGTTCAGTTGGAGGGATCCCCAGAGAAACTTTGTCAGAGGTATCCCAGACCTGACTCTTGTGTGTGCTTGCCAGTACAGGGTCCAGCACAGTCTGTAGCCCCAGTTAGTTTATGCATGTGCTGGTCGTTGCATTTGCTGGGTCACTTCTGTCTCCAGCCCTGTCTTCCACATGAACCAATGATAATTGCAGTCCAGCCTGATCCTGCCCACTTCACACTCGGCCCTCACACAAACCAGTGGGAGCTGCAGCCTAGTTGGGGTGACTCTCTATGACCCCCACCAGGCCTGCCCCCTACGCTGGTTCCCCTGCTTGCCACTATGTACAGCAGACCTGTTCATTCTGTCCCACATCCCATTTAGCTCTCATACATGTCAATGGCATTGAAGCCTGGTTCCAGCCAACCAGCCCTAGCATCCAATCCACACACATACTGGCAGATGCCTTTCTGTCTAGCCATCCCTGCCCCTGTCTTGGTTTTCATGCTCTCCAGTGGGAGTGGTAACCCAAGAGGGAGGCACCCATTATTTCCCTACAAGGTCCATTCCTACTCCCAGATCATGCACTCTCTATAGATGGTTCTGCAGTTTAACTTGACAGAATTAGCCCCCAGTGCCAGCCCCAGCCAGCTGATGCTGCGGCAAAGCCCAGCCAACCCTCATCCACTCTAATTGTAGTTTTCACCAGTCGGAACAGTCAGCTCAGCCTGGCTTTTCCCTGATCCAGTTCACATGAGGCCCACAGGCGTTGTAGCCCTGTCTGGTCTGGTTTGCCACCGTCCCAACTCATGCTCTCCAATGGGAGTGAGCCAATTATTAATAACCCATACAAGCTCATGTTCTTTGGCTCGAGAGGCTTGTGAGAAATGTTAGATTCAGTTAAGCTTGCCAGCTTTCTTTTACTCTTTGTCTTTTCTTTCAAGGACCCTGGTACCAGGGAGGGGAGTGTGGCCTCTGTCCTAGGCTTCTGTGTGTCTGCTGGTGTTAGAGACTGCAGATTCTCTTAAAATTGATGTGTCTTTTTAAAGCTATTTATATATCTACCGAGCGACAGAAAGAGGCACATACCAGAGATAGAAAGAGATAGATAGTTGAACAGAACTTGGGATTCATTGCCCAAGTATCTACAATGGCTGGGGCTTCCAGGCTGAATCTGGGAGACAGAAAATTAATCCAGGCTCCCATGCAAATGACAGAGACCAGATTGCCAATCCATTACCTCTGGCTTCCCAAGGTGTGTGTTAGTAGGCTGCTGGAATTAGGAATTGAGCCAGAATTCAAAATCAGGTGCTGGGACAAGGGGTGCTACTGTTTTAACTATGTCTCAACTGCTTGGTCGGAGTTTGCCCCTGGATCAGCCTTTGAGAGGCAGATGGATTTTGAAAACCCTATATTCATGACTGATTTAAAAAATCCAGTAAAATTATAGAAGCTAGACATTGGACTCCTCCATAGTTGGGCTTTAGGATAATGTCCCCTCAGGAGGAGGCTTGTATCCCAACCCTGAAGACTCCCAGATCCTCACCAAGGACTATCAGTACGAGCACCGAGGACTACATCCCAACTGCCAAGGAGACCATGGGGAAATGGAGTGCCTTCGGAGGCCGAGAACTCTGAGGTCACCCACCCCCGTTTGGATCTACCACATGGGATGGAAGAAGCCCAAATCCTGCCTTGCAGGAACCAAGGTCATCGGAACGACAACCAGGAGCACTGAGCGGTCTGCAGAAACAGAAGAACAGTAAACTTCCTTTGGAACTAGGGAGAAGAGCTTTCTCTGGTCCTTGCCTGGTTCCAACTTTGGGTCCCCACCCTCTCTGGCAATGACCATCAGGATGGCACCAGAAACCCCTCAAAACAAACAAACAAAAACAAACGAGAAAACTAGAATAGATAAGAAAAACAAGGAAAGCTTAGAAACAGACAGGAAACAGTCAGCAGGGATGCACTTATAACTCACTGGGTGGGACACAAAGATTAGTTACTCCTCACTAGGGTATTGAAGATTTCTCTGCACACCCCTCCTAAAACTGTTCACCTAAACTGCTGACATATGTCTCGTTAGAGTTGTAGAGTTAGACTACCCGAAAAACAGCCAGGTTTAGCAAAATCATGCTTCAACGCTATAAATTGCTAAATGCTAAAATTAAAATAGACATGAGACAGCTGAATAGTAATCTATAGCCATTTTAAGGTGTATAGAAACCAGTTGTATATAAACTAATAATTGAAATGCCAATGTAGAAGTCACAGGATGTGGTTCAGAACTTGCATTCTTTTTTTTTTTTTTCTCTTTTAACATACTGGTTACTGAATACCATGTCAACTAATTCCATAACGTTATGTTACTGATGTAATGTTGGGGCTTTTAATTGATTGGGATGATACTCTGTCTGTTCTACCTTCAGACCAGAGATGGTCTCCCCAAGAAACCTTTGAACTTATCTGGAAAATAAGACGCTGGACTTTATACTTGGTAGATGCTTGCAATGAAAGAATCTCAACTGAATTTGAACTGTGGTAATGCAACAAGGTGGAGCAATCCATCATGGGGGGCGGGAGAGGGGATCTCAGTGCCTATAAAACTGTCACATAATGCAATGTAACCAATAAAAAAAATATATAAAAGGATAATGTCCCCTTTTTAGGCTTGTCTTTCCAGTAGGCCTTCTATGTGTATCCGACACAAGGTTGTTGTTCACATTTCCCAAGATTTTTTCAATATTTTATTTAACTTTATCTTATTTATTTATTTATTTATTTATTTATATTACTTGCCTCAGACTCTTCCCTTCTGCCAGGACGTGGTTCCTTCCATAAAGCAATGCCTGTAGAAATCCCATTAAAAAAAGGTCTGTCTCAAAGGTCCCAAACATGGACTTCAATGTGGAATTAATTCCTTTTTTTTGCTCCTCTCTTAATTCATGAGTGCATCTGTCACTGATCGTAGACTATTTCGTTAACTTATTTCTTGGTT